TTTCTTAAATATTTTAAAACTGAACTTTCCTTTTAAATGGGAGGCTGGCAGCAGAAAACTGAAGAGCTTGGACTCAGCACAAGTTTACTTGGGTTTTGAGGGTTGGAGCATCAGGGCTGAGAAATTCCTACCCTTGTGGGCTTATTCCACACTATGGAAGTCCCACTTTTCTTGTCAATGAACTGAGTTATGATCTTTCATTTTGTTCTTACCTTCTGTCTCTCTATCTAAGCTTATTTAAAACATTTTTGGGGTGTAAACTCCACACCAAAAATGGTGTGTGCTACATGATAATGAGTATTGTGTAGAAACAATACTCTGGACAAGAAGAATGCTGATACATCTCAAATGTGGGATCCCAAGCCTAGTATGAGGATGCAGAAGCAAAATATTTCATTGTCCAATACTTCGCTTTCCATCCTCAATTAGGGTACATTTTACCCAAGGACAGCTCAATGACTTTGCCACCAGAAGCAGAAAACCCCACAAGTGCCTCTTCTCCATTCCTGGCAGTAAGAATACAATAATATATTAAAGGGCTAGGTAGGCCCAGGCAGCCACCTTGAGCTACACATGCGGGGGGGCGGGGGTGCAGCAAGATTGTGGGAGTGCCCTCTGCATCTCCTGGTTCCCCTAAACTAGCTTGCCCTGTACTCCTTAATATAGGTTGATGAACAACCTATTTTCCCTCCAAGAAAAATAGCACCAACATGAGTGGCTGCCTTTTCGGTATCAGGTTAGGAAGAGTGCACTTTCCTGCAAACCCTGAGGGTCACTGGCAGCTCTCCAGCTCTTCTTGTTCACTACACACACACACACACACACACACACAGAGAGAGAGAGAGAGAGAGAGAGAGAGAGAGAGAGAGAGAGAGAGAGAGAGAGAGAGGCTCTCCTGTTTGTCTAATGGTGGGCTGGCTGCTGTGATCTGGGCTCCTCCAGGAGGCTTAGGGACTGGGGAGACATGCAGCTTGTCACTCTTCAGCAGCATGGTTGTTGGAGCAGAGGTCTGACAAGGCCCCCAATCATGTCAGGTGCACAGTATCGTCACTTGACCGGGGGGGGGGGGGGGCAGAGGAAAGCCCCCCTCCCCCACCGCAGTGGCCTTGGTGACATTGTCAGAGGCTAAAGTAGTTTCCACTTTACAAAACAGTGAAGATCACGAGCACAGAGAGAGCCATTGGAGCTCCATTTCGGGCTGGGGGTGTAGTTTACAGCACTCGCTTTGAATGCCGGCAGGCCCAGGTTCATTCCCCAGCATCTTTGGATAGAGCTGCAGAAACCCCTGCCTGAAACCCTGGACCATCACTGCCAGTCTGGACCAGAATGGGCTTGATGAATTCAGCCTAAGGGAGCTTCCTGTGTTCCTAAGCATCATATCTTGGGCATGCCCTGGGATGTGAGGCCCAAGGAAGGAGGTCAAAGGTTAGAGATGCCCCAGTGCCTCTGTAAGGCCCCATAGCAAAGCTGATTTCAGTCCAGGGACTCCCTAGGTACGCCTTACTTTGGATAAGAGCAAGTCTCCTGCTTTCCCTTTTAAATGACTGAAGCCACGCTGGGGTTTTTTTCCCCCTTTTTCGGTGCTTTTTTTTAACGGATTGGGGCTTGCCAATTTATCCCTGGCGTGATTGCCCACGAAAGGGGTGGTGGCGGCACATCGTTGCGGCCGGAACTGTCCCGGGGGTGGGGATGGGTGTGGGGGTAGGTGTCTTTCTGCAGTTGGCTGATAAAAAGAACGGGACCCGCAGCAGCAGCCCTGAGCCCGCCCTGCCTCGCGTAGGAACGCGCTGGCGGAGAAAGTGTGGGAAGAATGAAACTTTGTGTCAACGTGGCGCCGATCGGCCAGTCCCGGAGCCCCCCGACCACGCCCATCGGCCTGAGGCGGCCTCCGATTGGTCTCTGCGGGGATGAGGGGCGTGGCCCGGGGGGGAGACACTGGAGGGGCTGAAGATGAGCCGGGGCGGCATTTCTGGAGGGGCGACGCGCCGGCAGAAGCTGCTGCTGCAAAAGGGGAGAGGTAAAAGTCGGGGGCCGGGGCGGTTGGGTGGGGGCGCTGGGCCAGAAAGGTGCAGATGGGGTAAGAGCGGGCGGGGAGACCGAAACTGATGGGAAAAGTGACTATTTTCTGTGATTTGCTGGAAAGGGCTAAGAGCGGTCCTGCGGGGCGGAGATGGGGAGGTGGGACTGGGGTAAGCTAGGCGGCAGTTTGGCCTGGGGGGAGAGCACGGAGAATCCATAAGGGAAGGGGAGGCGCTGGTTGGAGGAACGTGGAGTGAAGTGGAAAGCCCCCTGTCCTTTCCTAGAGTTCCCTGAGCCCTTGCGTGTGAGGGTAGGGGTGTGCGAGGGCCTTTCTCCGGCGCTCGAGGGAGAAATGGCGTGGCCGGGCCGGAGAACCGAGTGGGTCACGGCATCCCGATGGGTGTGAATTTGCCGGCAGACGCTGGCGGGAGGGACGGCCGCGATTTATCCCTGGAAGGGATGCATTCCGCGTCTCCGCGGCGTGGCCGTGCGCTCGCTTGCCGGGGCCCAGTCGTTTCAGAGAGACCACTTCGGTTCGCGGGGACTTGTAGGGACGGAGAAGCACGAAGCGTCCATTGCAGGGTGATGGCTTAGTAGCGGTTCTGAGAGGGCAGGACTTAGCGGAAGAAGCCCAGGACCCCCTCGGCAGGACGGGCAAGGAGGGCTCCGCCTGCCGCCAGCATTGCCTTATCACCACTTACAGTAAGCGAAGGAATATTGCATGTTACCATCTAAGGAGCCCCCTCGACCATTAAATTAAATTACCTAACTGCGCCGACTGATGGCTGCAGTAACAATCCCGCTGTGGCCCAGAACTTTGCTTCCAACCCACATGCCCTTTATGCCCTAGTTCTCCTCCATGGCCCTTTTTATGTAGGGTGCCAATTGGATTGTTTGTTTATTTATTCATTTATTAGATTTCTATGCAGCCTTTTTCTTTTTTAAAGTACTCAGAGCAGCTTATATCCTTCTCCTCCTGCTCTCAATCTTATCCCCACTACAACCTTGTGAGGAGACTGGGCCAAAGTCACCCAGTTGGCTCCATGGCTGAGCAGGGACTAGAACCCAGATCGCCTTTTAACCATTATACCACACTGGCTCTCACACTGGTGCATTCCTTCCCTTTGGCCCGGGATGTAGATAGGTTTCCCTGAACCTTTTCTTGTGCAAAGTATTACAGAGGCTCTACTAGTCTGAGAGAGTATTTTCTGCCTGGCTTCCAAAGAGAACAGAAGCCCTTAGAGTTTCTCGGGTTTGGCATGTCAATGTGGCCTCAATTTGGAAGCAAGCTACTTTGTGGGTGGGAACTGGCTTTGGTTTTTCACATTTCACTGTGATGGGAAGGGCAAGGCAGAGTCTTCAAGTGTGCAGCGCTGCTGGGGGTTCCAGCTTGGTTAAGACCCAGGAGCTACCTTTGGCTGGTTGTCCAACTAATTTGGCATGGAATGGCTTTTCTTTGTCCTGCAGCCCAGGAAGGAATGCTGTGTTCTGATTCTGCTGTCACTTTCATCCTCAATAGCTTTGTTCTGAAATGAAGTGCGGACAGTTTTAATTGAGGTTTCTCCAGGAACTGAACACTCTGTATTTTGGGCATCACAACTGGGAACTGGCCTAGTTCCCCTCAGCTGCTGGGATTACTTGAATTTCTTGTTTTTGCTGGTTTTGCCCTCAGAACAGCAGGTGCAGGCTTTATTTCTGAACCTCATTTCCATCCTGCCATGTGCTCCCACTACCCCCAGAGATCTTTAGAGTTCAGAATGTGCATTAAAATTTGCGTAGAGGAACAGCTTAGGAGCAAAGACTCCTGTGTTCTCATAAGAAGCGTGGGAAAATCAGAACTCCTCAACTCTTCAGTGAAATGTGTGTGTGGCCAGGTGGGACAGAATCCAAGGAAGCAGAACTGTGGCATAGATAGAGTGGCTGGGAATCCTGACTCCATGTTCTTTGGGCAGGAGAGAGAGAGACCTCAGGGTGGAAACAACAGTGTGCTTGGAGACACCGTAGCTGTAGCATCTGGAAGCCACAGTAGTTAGGAGTGCTGGACAAACACCGAGGAAAGCCACGTTCAACTCTGAATTCTGCCACGACGCTCACTGGGTATCTTGGGCCAATCATCCTCTCCCAGCCAAAACTGGATGAAATTGGGAGGGGAAGACACACTGTGTGCCCTCCCTGAAGGAAAAGAAAGATATATAATTAAAAATGCACACTTGAAAGGTCTGTAGTGAGCTAAAGCAGTAAAATTGGGAGAAATAGGCAAGGCATTTTTGGTTTTCTAGCACATGAGAAAGAAAGACAGACAGACAGACAGACAGACAGAAAGGTGGTGATGATGATGATGAATAAGCACCATCTGAATGCATAGCACTTCATAGAGTACAAAAGGATGAGTCTTTGCTGCAACAAATTTGCAATTTAAATACTGGACACGAGCCCAAAAAAAATCCCTGAGGGGAAGGAAAATGCAGTTTTTCTACTTACACAAGCTTAGTTGCAGGCCTGGCACACTTCTTGGGCAAGAACTCCTTATCCATGAGGAAATGGGAACTCTGTGTGTGTGTGCATTTGCATGGAAAAAACATTGTGGAACAGGTGGCTTTGGAAGGGGAATCTGAAAGCAGCAAGAGAGGTGGCACACACAATAAGGACACAATCCTATGTCTGTATGGACAGAAGGAAGTCCTACAACTCCCAGCATGCCTCAGAGCAGGAGACCTTGCAGGATGTGAAGATGGAGATGTGAACTTTTTGGGCAGAGCTGTTCAGGGTAAAACGTAGGGGGCTGGATCCAGGAACTAGGATCCAGGTGTTGTCAAATGTCTGGGGGAAAATAAGTTAGGAGGGCTGGTTAAAATTCCTTTGTCCAATCCCTGTCTTGGAAGCTCTGTTACAGCTCTGTTACCAGTTACAGTCTTGTTGTAACTGGTAATCAAATGTTTGTGTATCTCTCCTTGCTGACCATTCTTTTCTTCCAAAGTTGGGTGCAATGGCTTGGCAGAAGAAGCTGTGTTCCTACTATCTGCTGACGGCGTGCCTGACCTGGGTCCTGGCCAAGCCCCCCCCCTGACAAGAAGGATCGTGTCCACCACAGCCCAGACCTCAGTGACCACCCCCATGATGACAGCCAAGACTTCCGCTATGACCACGAAGCCTTCTTGGGCAAAGAGGACGCCAAGACATTTGACCAGCTAACCCCTGAAGAGAGCAAGGAGCGGCTGGGGTAAGGAGAGAAGAGACCACGGGGAATTAGAACCTGAATCTCCTGACTCCCAATCCAATATTCTAGGCACTGTGCAACACTGGTTCTCATTTGGATTCAAGAAGTTGGCTTCTAATATTAGCCAAATACCTAGGAAGAGTGCCGTGTTAAATGTAACAGAACAGATTTGCTTCCATTAAGCAAATATTTAGTGTTCTTCCAAAGAGGTCAGAATCTTAATTTTAGAGACACAACCATTTCAAATGACTTTCCTTAAGTCATCACATGTTCTACCCAGTAGAGCAGAAAACTGACTGCCCAAGGAGGCATTCTGTGTGCCACTGTGAGATAATGTAATATAATGGGTAGAGCAGTGGTTTTCAGACTTTCTGCTTCATGTCAGCTCTTTCCACATAGAATTGCAAGAGGCCTTGGAGTCCATCTAGTACACACACTCCATCTGCACACTAACCCGTTTGCCCAGTATAAATTCAGAGCACATCTTCATGCAGATGTGGGAAGACTAGTAACTTTAAGCAAACTGACTTTCAGGGAAATGCCTATTTTTCTCACGCAGGAATCCCTGCTAAATTTCTTATCTTCCTTAGGACACCCTGAAGCCCTTTGAATGCAGCTGGGATCTGGGGGACTTGAACTGGGGAAACTTCAGTTCTCTTGAGATGCCATCATCCATAAATTCACAGTGGCCTAGTAGCTAGAACGTTGGACTGAGGAAACGCTAGTTCAGATCCCCTTCCAACCCTGAATCTTACGGCCTGGTCACTCACTCTCAGCCAAAATCCCCCTCAGGATAAAATGGAGGGAACCATGTATATCCCCTTGAGCTCCCTGGAGGGAAGGTATAATATAATAAATATCCAGCTGGGGTTAAATCCCCTTCATGCCTCTAAGCCAGGCAATGTTCTAAGTGATCTTGGGCAAGTTGTTCACCCTGTGAGGCAGGTTAAGGTAAACCTAATTTACCTGATTTCTTACAGGATGGTTGTAAGAATACTTCTTATGTGATTGAATTTATATCCCACCTTTCCACTAAAAATGGGTGCTCAGAGTAGCGAATGAGAGATAACTTCCATGTGTGCACTCAACTATCCCTTTGTCCTTCACCCCCAACTCACCACTGACAGCAATATCAGGCAACCGTCCTGCGCACCCTCTAAGGAATGCCTGTCTGCAGCCTTGAACATATTGTCGTGGCCATTTGCCTGATTTCTAAGCCCCTTTATTCTGGCAACAATATCCTCTCTGCAGGAAGATTGTGGATCGAATTGATCGGAATGGGGATGGCTTTGTCACACAACCGGAGCTGAAGGACTGGATCAAGCACACGCAGAACCGCTACATCTATGAGAATGTGAACAAAAACTGGAAGGACTATGACAAAGATAGCAATGGCCAGATCACCTGGACTGAGTACAAAAATGCCACTTACGGTCACTATGAAGGTGCGGGTGGAGGAAGAGAAGCTCTGTGTGTGTGTGTGTCTCAGTGGGAGGAAGGGAAATGCTGCTGGGAGATGCATTGCAGAGAAGTTATCAGGCGCCACAGGGAGTTGGCAGGAGTGGATTGAATTTCACTTGTGGATCGGGCTGAAGGGAAAAGCGGCAGGCAATAATACCAACATATTTTTGTTGGACGCTCTCACTTCTTGTAACTCGGACTTAAGAGTGGCATTTAAATTGTTTATATTGGTGTGGGAAAACAGCACAAAAGCTGGGAAGCCATGAAAAGGTGTGGGGGGGGGGCAAGGGGAAATGGGGCATGGCCATCTGGGGTATCTGGATTGGGCCTTTGCACCAGAAGT